CATTTATGAATTTAACTCTTAAACCATATTCAAAAAAAAAATTAATTTGGATATAGGAATTTGAAGTGTGACGAACACTTTTAACATCAATGTGAACCTTGGGGCTTTGATCCCTGCAACTGAAAACTGTCTGTTTTTGAGGTGCCTACTCAGTAATGATCACTAGGTAATAACTAAGTAGGTACACACTCATTTACACGACACGTACATAGAAAAATGAATAGCTATATTGAACTACTTAAAAACGGTCGGTTAAAATCCCTGTATAGTATTTATTATAATAAAAGTTTAAACTTTAAATTTTAGGTACTTGTCTACTGGTGTGTAGTTTGTATATCAATGGCTGGTTGTCGAATACCGGGGATCCAAACGTGATTCCGCTCACTGTCGTTTGGTTGATCATAAATTGCTTGGCTGCTACTCAGGATATTGTAGTTGACGGATGGGCATGCTCTATGCTACAAAAGTTTGATATATAATATTTTATACCTATTATAGTATATATTTATAAAAGTACAACAGTTTTATAAAGTTAAGATTCTTAACAATTCTAAACTTCAATGACACAAAAAACAATTACAGAAAACTGAAAATACCTACTAACAGTGTAAACAACATAATATGTTTAGGCATAACATACACTACTCGTCAATGTGCAACGCGACCGGTCAATCGTTGGGATCATTCTTAGGATATGCAGTTGTATTGTTACTCAGATCTGAAACGTTTTGCAACAAATGGCTGCGATTTTATCCTAAATCCGGTGGTATTATCACTTTAAAAGGTAAACCTACCGGCAACCATAAAGGGGATAGAGTATACGTGGTATATTATAATGTTGCATGTTATTGTGGTAAATGGAACATCCCCCCCCCAGTTGTTTTCGGTCTAGCAGGATATCCGATATTTCACCCCTTTTTTCAAAAAGTTAATTATTGACTAATAATATTGAATTTAATAATGTAATATTATTTATTATTTTAAATGAATTTTTTTTAAACAAAATATAAAAAATTGTTTTAATTTTCATAAATTTAATAGATTATAAATGTATATGTTTGATCAACTGAACTACTTTCCTGAAACAATAAAAATTAAAAAAAAAAAAAAGTAGGTAGGTATAAAGTAAAATATAATTAATAATTTTAATAATAATGGTTAAAAATTCAGACATAAAAATTATACATTTTGTAAAAAACATTTAAATTCTGATTCTTCTGTTATTTCTTAACTTATATTTTTAAGACTTTGTTCATATTTTTTTTTTTTTTTTTGTTAAAACTGTAATAGTTTAAATATTTAACAATTTAATAATTGCTTGTGAATTTGATTCACGTAGTTCAGTTGTTCAAATATATATATATCTATAATTTATATATTATGAAAATATTTGAAAATATTAGACAATAGACATAAATATATTCATATTAAATAATAATATTATATTATTAAATAGTAAACTTTAAAAAAATGGGGGGGAAATATCCACATCAAAAATATATCGGAGGGGAGGGGGGATGTCAGTGATTCTTGTTTGTATATAGGTATATATCACGAATGTGTGTGTGTATGTGTACACAACTGTGCATTGTGCAATATGTATATTATACTAACATAGACACAATAATATATATAAAAAAAAAATTTAATAGTTGGATATTTTCACACAGGGGATCTATTTTTTGGGGAGTCGTGTACATTGTAGCAGCAGCATGTGTGTCCAAGTTCAAAAGCGAAACCCAACCGTCAGCCGAACAAAAAGGTCTGGGCGTATTAAATACGTACAAGCTACTTTGGGACATAATAAAGTTGCCAAACGTTAAGATACTTGGCGCGATATTTCTGACTGGAAAAGTAAGCGAAGAATATTTGTTAATGTACTATAGGTACCTATATAATACCTATTTACAATTATAATAATAATATCGAGTATCATTTCTAACTGGCCCTTGCTACATTTCAAATTACTTTATAAAAATATAAAATGTTAGAATTTTTCTGTATTTTATTATATTTATAAAATTTTAAAATCGATATAATGTTCATCGTAAGACGTAGATATGAATTATTATCCAATATTGAACTATTTAATGTCTTAATATTATATTATTTATAAGGGGAAATTAACATAGTTTTTTTCTATTTTCTCTAACCCGTTAGATTTTTTAACTCAACAAATTGGCCCTCTAATAGCATTGAGGTCCCATCCCTGACCTATATCATATAACTATATATTATATTATTTGAAATTTTAGAATTTTGACTATGTGATTATTTCTATGTGCCTTCAATCTTCATATTGTATAGGTATATTCAATTACATATAAGTGGATTAATGTGTTTATCAGTTGGTAGTTTTGGCATAACTTTTTTGAAAAATATTGGTTATTGTTTAGAAAAATTACTCCAAATCTCTATTTGGGTTTCTTCTTCTTACACTTAAACTTCAGTCTATTAATTACTCCTATAATCTTCTACTAAACTTCACTATTGCTATAACTATGAGGCAGGCACTATTATTTGTAAAATTTCGGACTGCACATTTCATTTTATTCTCGCTACCGTCTTAGAAAAATGAATGTATTACATATATATAAATATATATTATATATTACCTATATGTATATAATAATTTAACAATGCAATTCAATAAAACACAAAATACTTATCTTATAATAAAAATCATAAAAATGGGAGGGGTGAGGGGTAATTGGTGGACCCCCCTTGAGTTTTTCGCCGCCACATTCGGACCACCCCATGGGAGGGCCGGAGGGGTTGAACGTCATTACCTCTGTGAATTTGAAATTTACCCCCCCAGGATTTATCCACCACTGTGTTCTATAGGTAGTTAAAAATTACATATAGACTATTAACGACTTATGTTATTCATAGATAGGATTCGCCACTGTCGACACAGTGACTAATATGGAATTCATGGAAGCTGGAGTATCTGAAAACAATATTGTCATAATTGGTATAATGGTGTTTTTAGTGAAATTGGTAGTTCCTATAGCTATGACTAAAAAACAAATTCAATGAAATCAATAGATGTTTACATGCATGTGTACCATACAGGTATTTTAAACATACTTTTATAAAATATACGCTTCTAGATTTATCTAGATTATCATGAATCATGATAAATCATAATGAAGCTTCAAATTTTCAATACGTTGTTACTTGTAGGATAAATAATTATAATAAATATCGATCTGATATTTAATTACAATTTGAATAGGTACTACAATTTACATCAAAAATAATTTTGAAAAAGAAAAATTTTAAAGTACCTATTCTAATATTACAGATTGCTGCATGGTTTAGCATTCACGTTGTTGTTGTATTACACTCAACACTTTGGAAACCGGCGGTATTGTCCAAACAGTTTTACACAATGTTGGGATTCACCTTTATAACACATCAAGTAAATCACGTTCATATTATTATCGTTTCATTTTTTTGTTTCATTGTATCTAGGTATGTCTACCTACCAATGTTATCTTTTGGTCGACATTCTACAAATTCATAAACTGTTTAATAATCCTAAAATAAAATAAGTTTTGAAGTTAATTATGCGTTTTTGAACAGAAAATTATGAAAATTCCTTAGTAAATACTATATTTTCTTTAATTCTTACAGATCTTTTCGTTCATTATGTACGTAATTTACCTGTCGTTTGTATCTAAAGTAAGTGATCCAAATTTTGGTGGAATTTACATGACATTGCTATGCACTTTTGCAAACGTTAGCTTAGCTGTAACAAAGACGGGTTCACTTTGGTTGGTTGATGTACTTACCTTCAAGCAGTGTACCACCGACTCTGAAAACTATTGTGCGGCTCCTACATTGATAAAAGTAATTAATTGAAAAAAATGAATTATTTTAAACTAGTGTACAGACTATTTAATTTTTCTTTAAAACTTATTGTGATACTTAAAAATATATCGTTTTAATATTATATAAATGTTTTTTGTAAATCATTATTAACAACTTAATAATACAAATATGCAATATTATATTATTCTAGTCTTGTCGAGCAGCAGGTGGCAAATGCAGTACCATAATAGATGGATTCTACGCCGAGATAATTATCTCGTCTGTTTTGGGTTATTATGGTTCTACTTAATAAAAAAACCATTTATTACCTGCACCTCAGTGATCGAAAACATTGGCTTGTTTTATAATGAAGACAATTCAGTAAAAGTAAATGTTAATGACACTATTTAAATAATAATTTTAAGAAAAATGTGTTTAAATGAAAGTATGTATATTTGAGACTGTACAATTATAATTAAAGCAATATTTTAATTTTTTTTCAAAAACCTTTTATTCCTTGTTTTTCTTAATACCTTATTAATATTGTAATAATAACTAATTACCTTTTTTTTCCATGGTATCGAGGACCAGGGGAGGTACCACTGGTTGCCTTACTTCTCCTCAATAATTAATTAGATACCTATTTTTTTTTTTAATTGAGCTTATACCCGGCCATTAGCTATTTTTTGTTGTTTTGTAGGGGTGAATTAACGGTTGGTTGAAACACGGGTGTTTTTAGGTTTGGCAGAATTTCAAAATGGGCACCTGTAGGTTTCTACCATGCTCGGTCGGGGAATGGTGGCCTCACTCTCTAGAATCTAGAGCTAGACAGTTGCCAATGAATATTTTAAATTATTTACAATCAATAGTAAACTATGATTTTTTATGAGGAATAGGTAGTATAAGATACTTGATTTTATGGTTTTTTTTTTATTTAGATCCTATTAACTGTTATACAATTATAGTTGCAAATAATAAGGTTGAAATTAAATTAACGAAGTCATATAGATAGGTACTGAATAAGAATTATAAACGATTAAATTAATACATTTTTATTTTAAAAATATAAAGATGAAATAGCATTAACAACTTCATTTCGGTCCTAGGTTAGGTTATAATCTATATATTGCCTTACCAGATCAAATAAAATAAAATTTATTAAAAAAAATTCAAATTTCTTCATTTTATAATTGTTTTTCAATCCAAGTAATATAAGTGCTAACATCAATGTAAACACCGGGTATTGAAGGAGTTCCGCATCCAATTCCCCAAGATACGAGACCAATGAGATGTGAAACAGAATCATGTTCACACACTAAAGGCGAACCTCCATCACCCTACATACAACACATAAGTAAATTATATTTTTTTAAATAGTTTTAAATGTATATAATGTTACACCTATAAATTATAATATACAGTACAAAGTATAAATTTGGTTTCCCAGACAGCTGGAAAAAATTGGATATAAATATAACTTACAAATTCACAATCGTCTTGAAAGTGTACTAAATATAGATTAGAATTTTATAGAATTTTATAGAATACTCAAAAAAAAAGTTGATGTTGCCATTTAAAAAAAAGTAAGTTATATCGCGCATGCGCGTATCGAAAGAGTTAAAAATTTGAAATTTATCTGAAAATGTGTATTTAAGTACTATCTGTCATTCAGCGAAAACCCTATTTCAATAAAAGGTCATTGAACTGAATTATTTGGTGGTACTTCTTAGGGTGAACATACGTATAATGTATGTACATGAATATTGCAAATCGGTGGCGATACATAATATGTACCTATCTAAAATCTAAATGCTGTTAAAAGTATATTAATTACTAACATCAGTAATTAAATTGGTTACCTTTTCGGGAAATTATTATAATAGTGTTCACGAATATTCACGTTCACATGCCCGTATTGTAATAATCATATTCTAATACACTGTTTTCACTCACTTTGCAGGCATCTTCATTCTCCTCACCACCTGCGCACAAGAACCCCGAGTGCAGCTTGAACGTAGCGCCGAGTCTCGTGGTCCTCAGACTGTCGACGCACCGTTGAAGGTCCCACAGCGGTACCGGTACCTTCTTGAGCACGCCCGGGTACCGCGGCCGGTCGAAGCTCTCAGCACCCCACCCGGACACCCGGCAACCGGCCCACTGGCGGCGGGGTGACACGGCGTCTGGCGGCGATCTCGGCGGCAAACACACAGGGCCCACGTGATCGGTTACCGGCACCGGAGCGCCAGACAGTGTGATCACCGCGATGTCATTGTGCATGTTGGACGGCGAATACTCGGGATGGATCGCGATGCTGGCCACGAGCCTTTCAACGTGCGGCCGGGGCTCCACGTCTCTGTAGATGTCCCAGTCGCCCAACCGTACTTTCAACGCACTGAAGTTCCTGCAATACACACGACCGAGACGAAAGTTTTTACTTTTTTTTTTTTCAAATTATTATAATAATTATAATTATTCCGAAATTATTTTTGTGTTTTATATTTTATACGCCGAAAGATCTCTCACCCGGGGACGGATCAAAAGGGATTGACAAGGTACCAAGCTCCAAGGATTAAAATATGTTATAAATAATATTTTATAAACAAATTTATAAAAGTAGATAAGTAGATACTGAAAACGAACATAACTATGTTAGTAGTTGTAGGTGCTAAATAGATATAGAATATTTTGTATTAAATTACTTTGAGAAACTAGTCAAAAAGTGAGCAGTAGATAGTATATGTTTATTGTCTATCAACGCTCCATTTGACACGAATGAATTTCCATTTGTTAAAATTAAAGCTTGCCAGGGAAATTCTCCAAATTTAGCCTGTAGTCAAAATAAATCAAATTGATTACATTTTATATATTAATACCTATAGTATAATGTTAAAAATAATAGTGTTATCCATATCATCATGATATTATATCAAACGCATTTATTATCAGGTATTTATCTGTCAACACAAAATACAGAAAATAGAGCAAAAAACATATACCTAGGTACACAAATTAATCTTTATTATCAACTACCATAAAATATTAAAATGTATTTAAAAGAAAATTTAAGTGTCAAAACGTAAAATCTATTTCTGTCTAATAGATTTAGTGAAATTAGTTTATACTTTTATCAACAGTAGGAAAAGTATAAACATTTTATTTTATAGAATTTATTAGAGTGAAATGTTTGTAGTAAATTGAAAGATCTGTAAAATGTACCATGGTCCACGATGTATTAATTTATGAAACATTAATGAATGAATAGTAAATTATAATAAATATATTTTTCTTCGTAAATTATAATTAAATCATAACATGGAACCTACCTGATCGGGGTTGATTTTGATCCCATCAATGTTTTGCGATGTTACCTTACCACACATTATTAATGGGTTTTCCAACGATGGGTCAGAACAACAATACACTTTTCCAGTTGGACATTTATCTGGTTTCTAAATTTAAAAAAAAATTTTATCAAGAACCAAATTAAAGTACCCGGTGCCGATGCCATTTTGTCCTCAAAAATACACTCTGTGGGAATGACGATACCGCCTTGTAGAATCAACCAAATTTCATAATTTTTTTTTTAATTGATAGAGGGAAATATTCTACAACCCGCATCAATCTCTGTTTTTCAATATTTTACTCTCAAACTTTATAATATGTCTAAAAGGATACAAGATAAAAAGTATTATTTTACACATTTTTCAATACAATTATTTGAAATAAATTACAAAATCAGAGATCGATGCAGGCTGTGGAAGTCTTCTTCTTTCAGATAAAAAATAGTCATCAAAATCTGACAATTCTACAAAGCTTGAGAGTTATTTCTGTAAAGTCATTTTTTTCGATATAATACACCCTGTCACACCCATAAATAGGTATCGGGTAGTAGATTAGTGGAAAAGTCTTATAGTGAGGTGGCAACAAAACAAAAAATTTAATTTTCAAATTTTATAAAATTGTGGAAAATTTGAAAAACTGGCACCGGGAACCTTAATGAAATGTACTTAACGGTAGTACCTATTAATAAAACTTACTGTGATTATTCTAATATCTATGGATGCATCATTTTCATCAGATAAACATTCAGATATCATAACACATTTACATTCTTCTATCCATTCTGTTTCGTGCGATAGTTCTGAAATATTCACAAAAAAATATTTTAGGAATAATAAATTACAATATAAAATTTGTCATAGTAGGTAAATAAAAGTAGTAAATACTATACTAGGCACTACCAATTTTTACTATTTATATAACATATTTTATATATTTATAAATACTAATGTTTAAGATTATTATGTACTTCTACTGTAAAATATATAATAATAATAATAATATACTTACTATTTTTTTTTGTTTGCAATTCTAATCTGTCAAATGATACTGCACTAGTAGCATCATTCGGTTTAGATAAATGTATTTTAGAAATAGTTAAAAACATTATGAAACATAGTGTTTTTAAAAACATATTTTTAGTGACTTATTCTAATACCAATACTTACTATAGAATGGAAAAAAATTAAATCATACACTCTATAAATATGTTTCCCCTACAACTGCACATCTTTAATTATATACGTATTGTATAATTGTATAAATAACAATAATTGTTACCTACAATTATAGAACATCAAATTATCGTACAATAAATAAATACAATTTATAATTTATTAAAAAATAATAATAAAGTGCAATACATTATCCAGTATAATATTATTTGGGTTATGATGTCAATTATTAAATAGATACTTATTTTAACTAGATAAATTATTTTAGATGAAAATAATAAAATACATTGTCATGCAAGAGTAATTTTTATAACAACTGATATTACGGCTACACGACGTTTGTGACCACATCAACTTCCCATCCAATTCCTGAAAATGTTTTTAATATGTCAATACAATACAATATTAAATAGGTACATTAACTATTATTTATATACAATAGGTATACTTTTCAACAATTTAATATTTTTTTTAATGCACATAGAAATTAATTTGGTATGACAATAGATATAACAAGTATAATAGCTTTATTTTTTTCAATTTTATATCCCTAAAATTAGAAAAACCTATGTCTTTATGTGTCAAACATGTGAAGTTTTTATAGCTTAAAAATGTTTTTGAAATATTAATGGAGAATGGTATAATATACTGTAATACCTACTATACATCTATAGTGGTCAATACATAATTTGGGTGTTTCAACATTAAATGCAGATGTAATAAATGTTTAACAATTAGTAGGTATTCGAATAACAATATACTATATAGGTAAGGTACCTACCTAAAGAGGGTAGATTAATATTATAATTTCACAGTGCACTAAGAAAGGATTTTGCAAAATTTTGATTTTAAGGGGTTGAAACGGGAAAAAAACAAAATTTTACCATAAAATTGTATACCTATATAATACGCGTAATTGTTGCTTTTGATTATATGAGAAATAACTATTTATTTATAATTGGTTGGCATTGGTTATTGTCAGGTACAACTGTACAAGATTACATCAAATCGAATTTTCGAACATTGCCGAACATTCAAATTTATAACACAAACATTGTGAAGAAGAGTAACCATAAATAAAATTCTGTTTTTATAAACTAGCTATATTATATATTTTGAGTATGCAGGGATAAAAAAATGTGTAGGTTAGGTTAGGTTAGTTATTTTATTATAAAGGTGTTTTATATCCATACATTTATTTACCAAGTGTAAATACCACTGTACACTGGTATCCACAATATAAAATAAATACATTAAAAGTACCTACACATAGTTCGTCAAAATATATTCATTATTGTGATATGTTCATACTAATATAAGTGACATATTGAATAAATTATACAAATATCCAAATATTCTATTGTTTTTGTCCCCACTCGACCCCCCCCCCCCAAAAAAAAAATGTGGCCGGGTAATGATTTGAATGGCCTGCAAACATTTTCGCACCAACAAAAAAAAAGTTGAAATGACGCCCCTGACAACAATGTGCTATGTGCATGTCTATTGAACTATTTTATAACGTACTAAAATGTAAAGTATTACTATAGAATTATTATTGAACTACATATTATTTAATATTTAATATGACTCACCGCATTCATTGTTTCCAATAGCTACGTGGATATATCCATCATTGCCAAAATTAGTTCCCCAAGAATTTTTCAAAATATAATATGGATTTTCACCAAGCTTGTACCCAACTATTTCTGCTGCATGATTTAACGAGGCCATACTATTATCACATTGGCTGAGTACACCACCCACATAAAACTGCCACGGCAATGCATTAAGGGCTACAGAAACTGGGCTTTTTGATATATAGGATAACAATAAATCTTCACGATCCATCAAACTAAATGGAAATCATTGTACAACATGTATCTATAACTGAGTCAGATTAATTTTATATATAATTATAATGGCTTACTTCAGTGTTAAAAATGATTTTACTTTTACTCCCTTATCAAAGATTCTGTAACAGGACAACAAAATACATTTCATTATTATTTTATTTTATTGTTCATTGATTTAATTGCATTAACGCACTTATCAAGTGTACACATCTGATCTTTATATATAGTTGGATAATTTTCTTCTTTATACACGGTAATGTTATTTTCCACCAACCATAAGAGCAAATATACAACACTTCCACCAGTACATCCTTGGTTTATTCCTCCCGAACAATCTAACATCTTGCATGATATAATAGGTTTAATTGAAATTTGCACAAAACAATTAAGATACAATAACATAGACTTATAGTAATATAATTAGTTATATTAGTTATACATTTATAAATTGATATGAAGTATAATTTCGGTATGGAAATAAAATTGATAATTTTGAGCTTATAAATGTTTTTAAATGAAAGTGTTACTCAACAGACTTAATGAACTAAAAATGTTCGAAAGATGTATGGAAATGTGCAATTAAAATTACTAAATAATGTTCAAAGATAGGACGTATATTATTGTAGCTAAAATTAAAGAAGAAAAACAAGGAAAACGATATGTAGACAAATCTACATAAATATGAAAATTCTAAAAATGGTCAAAAATACTTAAATTTGTCGATGCATCAAAATGTACAATAATATGCTAAGTTAAATCATAGGCTTTTCTAAAGCATTCTTGTGTAATATAATAATTTAAAACTGCATGTTTATGTATTTACTATGTACCTATTTATTATAATTTATAAGTTATAACATGAAATCTATTATACATTTTCACAGTAACAAAATTATTTTTTTTGACCAAAACCAAAATCAATAACTGGACCGATACGAAAAATAGCAATTTTAAATTACCCACTTCTTGTACACTAAATGTTTGTAACAATCCTGTTTTTATGGCATAAACAGATTCAATCAATTCTACCACACTAATTGCCCAACAAGCTCCACAATTTTTTTGATTTCGAACAGAAGTCACCACTCCTTTATCCCTCCTTAAAAAAAAAATTTAAGTTACATCAACGTTACTAATTTTTCAAAACAAATATTGCTTAACCGATAATAAATATTAGGTACCTAAGTATACTACAGTGTACTAACTATTTCTGTTGGGAAATCGAATCTAATTGGTGCACTGCAAGAAACCGGCAGGGATCAAAATTAAGAAGATTAAAATTTCTATTAGTATTCAAAAGCGTCAGGAAAAGCAAAGAAAAATTAAAGTAAAACGGAAATTTTTACCCAAAATCAGTTTTTGAAAACTACTGGAAATAAATCTCAAATGCACCAACTAGATTCACTTTACCAGAAAAGTTACTGAAGTTGAAAATCGAAATATTATATCAAATACTTATCGTGTACACAAAAAAAAACACACACACATACACACACACATATATTATGTTAACAATTTATGTAATTATCGTTATATACTTGAAACCGGTATTTAAAAAACATAATTATCATGTATTTAATACATTGACATTTTAGTAGAAATTTTTATTATATTTATAACTTATGAAGATGTAATATTTATATTATAATAGGTACCAATCAATGCTTGATAAGGTTACTGTTGTAATAGATCGCTTAGATCTCGCCATACTAAAAGTTCCTGTACTTGGTGTCCTTAAAGTGACTGAATTTAGGTATATTTTAGTAAATTCTTCTGTTGACAAATCTGAGAATTCTGTGATTCCATAATTGGTACATCCATTACATTTCTGACTCAAAAGTTGAATAGTTTTTAACGATTTCTGAAATAATGATTGAATATGAATAGGTTATTCAGTTGTTGTATACGTACGTTATATACAAGTATAAAACAGTTAATGAAAAATGTTGTTGTTTTAAAATACTATCTTGTAATTTGTTAATACAGTCTCTCCTCTCTCATTCAAAATAATATATCATTAAGAGGACGCCACACCTGCATGTGTTGTCTCCGTCTTACAAACGCGCAACATACCAAATTTACGCTCAGAAATTCACGTTTTATGCCGTTAGCTTAAAAATTGGAGTGAATCGATCTATTATAAAACTTGATGGTCAGAAAATGATCTGTGTTTTGTTGGAAGTTTTTTTACGATAATTTAGTTTTTAAGTGAGTTATGAGTACTTATTTTTAATTTACATTTATTATACACACACAGTTCTCGTAAAAAAACTTCCAACAAGACACAGATAATGTTCTTATTATCAAATTTTATCATAAGTCGATTCACTCTAATTTTTAAGCTAACAGCATAAAACGTGAATTTCTGAGCGTAAATTTGGTATGTTACGCGTTTGTAAGACGGAGACTACACATGCGGGTGTGGCGTACTCTTAAACATAGGTAATTGTATAATAATAAACCCAATAATAATTATAATATATAGATAAAGTAAAAGTTAACTAATACAGTTATGATACTTATTACATATACCTGCATTTTTAAATAATATTATTATATTAATGTTAGTTTAAAGTGGTAACTATTTACATATTGTATTATTCCAGTCTACATAAAAATATTATATTCTTTAAATGATTCACTAAAATTTAATGAACAAATCATAGGCCACCAAATCATAATTAATAATTAGCTTATTATTGACTCATTAAATATTTAGTGATTATTTATGTAACCCAGTAGCCACACTAGCCAGTATGTAAAACTAAAACTAGGCAGATCTTAAAGTTGTATATGTTCCATTGTTATTTATTTATAAATTATAGGCAATACTTGCATAATATATAAATTACATATTATACTGTCTCACCTTAAAGTGTTCGAACCTTATATTATGTTCCGTCCCGTTCGTGTAACTCTTATTGTACATTTTAATGAATTTATTGAATTTATCTTGGTCTCGGTTTAACTGTGTGATTGACATAATAAAAAACAAAATTAATACTACACAACTGCCTACAAGCGACGCTTTTAATATATTTGCAACGACCATTATTTTAATTTATTTTTACTGCATAATAATAGAGTAGGTACTAAATAAATTTGAA